TGGATGAGCTCCTGCATTCAGAGCTGTAAATTCTTGGAATTTAGTCCAAGAACTAAATTCTGGGCCGAAACTCTGGTATCTGCCAACTTGAAGTTTTATCCTCCTCTGTTAGTCCAGCAAACCAGATCAATGGTCTGACTGATACAGCGTCAGATTAATTGCAGAAATCGTGGTGCACCACTTAAAGCTTTTATGTGCAGGCTCATTTTTATGTTCTTTTGAATGTCCTTTACATCAGGTTAGTTCGTCCCAGCCCTGACCCTGTACATCACCTCTGTGTTGCTTTTTCTAGGGGAAAAACACAACAGCTTGCTACCAGACTGACTGCTGCTGATAGCCTGTACAGGATAAAGTAAATTAAAACCATGCATGTGGTTGGTCAGAAAATTAGGTTTACATGTGAAGAGGCATAACTCCAGTGCTGACTTTTTTGTATCCCTGTTAAACATTGCGGAACCTGTAGTTAATGCACTTTATGCTGCCAGCCGTATGGGCCATTTCACTGATAAAGACCAAAACCCCCAGGAAGCTCTGAAGTCTGTCCTCCCGGAGAAGGAAAATGGTATGTTATGAGAGTCATTGATGCTGGTGCACCACAGAAGACCTTCTGTGGCTGAGAAGGACAGTCCATAGAAAAGGATAAAAAAGCAGAGAAAAAAAATCCTGCCTCCTGGGGCACACTGAGGTAATATCAATATGACAGCTGATTCTTAATGTTTCTAAACCCACAGTTTCCCTGGAAAGCAGACACTTCATGAAAAATGTCATAAAGTTGAATTTAACCTTTTCCTGCTGGAATTATTGCAGCCAGACCTTTTGTCTGCTGATAGAGGATGCCGCTTTTCCTTTTTCTTTTCTTTTGTTAATGACAGAAATATTTGCACATTGTATGGACAGTCAGGACATGACCAGGCTACAGCTGGGGAAAAAAAAAGATGGAATCAGAATTTGGGAGGCGATGTCCTCTCCTGCCCTTTGTGCTATCCATGCCTGGGGAACAGGGGGATATTTTTGGAATATTATTTTAATAGCAGGGAGGGGCTATCAGGTTTCGTTTCATCTGTTGGTTCTGGTCTGCGGTGCCAGTCAAGCTATAATTGTAAATTATAAAATGGAGTCCCCCGTAGCGAGGAGCAAAGGAAGAGACAATGCCCTCCCTTCACAGCTGGGGCATACCTGTGGCGATCTGCATTTTCACCACTAAGCCCATGTTACTGCAATTACTGTCTGCCTCGGACTTATTTATTTGAAGCCTATTATGTCAGCTTAGTCAGATCAGTGCAGTAACGCTCTGCTCTCCGTACTTCAGCCCCCGGGGGGAGAGAAAATGGGTTCCTCTTTCTAGAGGGAACTGTGGTTTTTCTGACAGTGTGCGGTGGAGCATGAATTCATGGCATAGCTAACATCATCTAAATCCTGAAGTCTTTACCCAAGGCCCTCTCGGAAGATCCATCCAGACCCCATGCATCCCAGTGAAGGAGGATCAACAGGGAGCACGACTGCTCCCCCCACACTCCCCTCCTCTCTGGGAATAGCATCCATCTGTGCTTTGCATTTTGTCCCTTCTTTACAGCCTACAAATCTTTCAGCCATTTTGTTTTTACACCAACTTCTGCTGCTGAAACAGCTGATGATTGTACAGTCTGACCACGTGGGGAAAATGGCCCAGAGATGCACTGAGAATCTCTGTTTATATCCAGATAAGGCTGGGTATCTGGGATGGGGGATGGCTTTGAAGATCCATCAAGATAAGGGAGTTGAGTGGTATCCCCAGTTGACTTTTCTTGAGAAATACATTTGAATGTAATCTCGCACAAATCCCAGCACCGGGGAAGGATGAAAAAGGGATCAACTGTTCTCATGGTATCAGACATTCTTGTAAGCTCTCAGCTACAGTGAAACCACACGAGAAGATAAGGTGGCTTCTGATTGTGATGACATGAACGCTTTGGGGCTGATCTTGGGTTTGAAGATTTTAAGTTGAATTTGCCTTCTCTTTCTTCCTTCAACTTAAACACTCTATTCAAAAGAGAGCAGGAAGGCTTGTTCCAAAAACATTGTGAAATTAGTTTTATGGGAAAAGTAATAAATTTACATTCTGGCTGGCAGGGTTGTATATTGTCCACACTGCTACAATGATCTAATTTAGCTGGAGAAGTTAGACTCCGATATGATGACAAAGGCTGTTTCTGCACAGGCTAAACAATAACAGCTTTGTACAAGGTAAGTTGCAGTGCCTGGGAACAGGAGGAAAAGACTGGGTTCAGGCAGTTTAAGGTAGGTAGCTGTCTTATGATGTATCTCTCTATTTCAAATAGCGCAGAGACCTACAAATTCAGCTGTTTAATCAGCTGTCACCTGTTCAAGGTTTCCTAATTCTCCTACGCTACGCACACTGCCTTAGATGATACGTATTTTCCACAGACACATGATGAGACCTCTGTTAGGCCCCATATGTCATTACCCTCCCACACCAGAGCTAACGTCCTTCCCGTAATGGACATAGATATATAGATATATACAACACATCCCCTTCCAAAAAAGCTTTCCAAGCTTTTTCTCCATTAAGTTAACCTCAACTGTATTATCTGGAATTAGTTTTGCTGCAGTACTTGTTGGATGTTCAACAGAAAGATGAACAAGTTTCGTGCTTGATGGAATAGCTGATCCCTGAACTTGGATCTAGAAGTGTTTTCTTTCCTTGTGCTCCAGCTAGTGTACTTACAGTGGTCCCACTTTAAAATTAGTCAGCATACTCTGCTCAACACCCTCCAATAAAGAGCACGGTATCTGCTAGGAAATGTTTTTTCTTGGCCACCAGCTCTGCCTCCAGACAACAGGGCTGGAGGAAGAGCACTACTGGTCCGCTGCAGCCGTCAGCAAAAAGCCTCATTTGAACCACCACAGAGTTTCAAGCTAAAGTATTCCTTAGGGACACAGACTGCAAATTTAAGAACAAAACCTGCTCCACTAATATCAGTGGGAAAGTTGCCAACAGCAGCTGCAGAGGCCAAATTAGCTGTTCTGGCAGCAGCAGAGGAAACTATTTTGCACTCTCAGATTGATACAGCTACTGTGTCGCACCTAGCCTGGGCAAACCCCTGGTGAGTTAGAATAAAAGAACCTTAAAATTAAATGCAAACTTAGGAGGACTCACTTTTTTTTGATGCAATATGGGTAGGAAATCACATTAGAGAATATAGCTTTGAAAAAAAAGCAACTCCTGCTCCCAGGGACCTGCAACGTAAAGAACAGGCTGGGACAGACTCAGCTGACAGACTGAAATTTAACAATTTCCTGCCTGTGAGCTGAGCCGCGGTAACTGTCCCCGAGCACACTCCTACGTCCAGCAAAAAGCAAGGTAATCTGACCTCGTTTAACAAGTGGGGAGGCAGATTGCATCACCCCGCAGCTGGTGCAGGCAAAGAGCACAGAGCCACGGCGTCCCTGCAGCTCTCCTCGTGCATGGGGACTTGTTAAACCCAGGCGATCGTGCATCTCAGCTGCCAAAAAACAGAAGAAAGGTCCTGTCCTGGTCCAGGTGATGCATTTTGGATCAGAGGGACAAAATTTTCTCCTGAACTGGCCTATAATTGTAATGTGGCAGCTCACATATCTTACCATGAGCCAAGGAAGGATGACAGATAACTTTTTTTTCCCTTTAGGATTGATTTGCAGTGGCTGGGTAGAGCACCTAACTGCTTCTGCAGAGCTCCGAGGCTCTTAATGTGCACCAGCTCTTGCCAATAAAAAACCCAAAATTGATGTTCCAGCCATGAAGGTGGCCTGCTTGGGCTTCTTCTGAATTATGAGCCCGCTGAGCTTGCTGAGTTACTCAGAGTCCTGCAGCCCCATATCCCAATTTTACTATGGCAGGGGTGCATTGTTTTTTCCATCAACCCCAAACACCTGAACCCCTGCCAATGGATAAAGGGGCCTTTTTGTGACTTTGAGGGATTGTCACAGCTCATACCTCAACCTTTGGGAAAGGAACCTGTGATACTCTTCAGAAAATTCTTCTGCCCATCAGCCAAGTGTTGAGATGAGCAACTCAGCACAAGGCTGTGTAATTGCAGTGTTAGCCCCTTTTAAAATAAATTGAATAATATCTGCCCATCAGCCAAGCATTGAGATGAGCAACTCAGCACAGTAATTGGTAATTGCAGTGTTAGCCCCTTTTAAAATAAATTGAATAATATTTAAAAAAATAAATAGTTAAATAAATAGTTAAATAAGTTAAATATAAGTTAAATAAATAGTTAAATAAATAGTTAAATAAATAGTTAAATAAATAGTTAAATAAATAGTTAAATATATTTTAAAATTTAAAAATCAAGCCACTCGATATATATTCATAAAGATAGATCTGGTATTACTTAGATCTTCTTTCTGTTTTACAAGGAGAAGACTGCCTCTTTCCCAGCTAAAACTTGGAAAAGAGGTAACTACAGCCAAAGAAAAATGGACTTAAACTCTGATTTCATTCCTCCTGTTGCAGGTACCAGTGTTGTGCCCTTTCCTTACAGCTACTAGCTCTGGACTGATGGAAAACACCTTGGAGAGTATCGCTCCTGGGCTATCTCTGGGCTGACTCCCTTTTTCCAGCATCTTCTAGGAGTTGGGCTCCCATTGCTTGCAGAAAGACTAAAAGATCCTAAAGATGTAGCAGCTGCCCATCATCATTTCAGCCCAGTGTGTGCTGAAAATCCCCTCCTTGTAATGAGGGGATGATGCTGCTGTGACTCCTTGGCACTTTCTCTGCAAATCCACTTGCTTCCTGGAAAAATCAGGCACGCTTTGCTCCATGCCTGGCCAAGAAAGTCCAGATGCTTTATTGCTTCATTCCTGTGCTGCATTTAGTTTGTTAATGCTTTCATGTGAAAACAGTGTGACACATGGGAACCCTAAGTCTATTTATTTCTTCTGTAAAGTCACTTCTTGGTGTGAGAGCTAAAGGTTACAACCAGTGAATGGCTGTTGACACCAGGGGTTACTCTTATAAAGCAAACCTACACTGATTTTTATTTCTGTTTATCTGAAGCTTGCAAAACACTACACACCATGTAAACATGACGAGGCAGCAAGGAGGAAGTTGAAAGCAAGGACTGACCACTGTGATTATGTCTCCACGCAGCACAGAAAAGCACAAAAAAGCAGATTAAACACTGTGGTTGCTGAGCCACAAAGTCTTTGCCTCTACTGGAGCAATACCAAGCCTGAGGGAGATGAAGCCAAAGCTCCTAAGATACGTCTTCGTATTACCTACTGGAAGGGAAAAGCTCAGATGTGCAGTGGTCTTCAGCAGGAGGGCTGATCAGAAAATGTTCCTCTTTCATGTAACTGTTCATAAAAAAAGAAAAGGGTTATAAAAATATCTCACTTGTATGTATTTATATTAAGAGTGTTGGCATTAAGGTTGCCTGTGGGCAGTGATAGGCAGGGCAAGGCAAATGAGCCAACCTGGTTTCATGCCTCCTACCTGCTCCTCTAAAAGGTCCTGGGCCTGAGAGGTGGCCCGCTGAGCTCACCACTGCAGCTGTGCCCTTCTCAGCACTTCCTAGGAGTGAAGGGAAGAATTTGTCACCTATTCCAGGACACCTAAATCCCTGCAGTCCTGGATCTCAAAATTATGGGTAGCTTCTCCATAATAAAAAGGCCTGGTACACTGGCATCTTTCCCTGAGATTGCCAGTGCCAAGTGCTCAGGGACCACAGCTTAGCCTTAAAAACCATAATATTCCTTTTTGATTGTCTTCTTAACCAAAGCATGGGGTATTTTGCATTTTTTGAGCCACGGGAGCATGCTCGGAAGTCACTTTGCAGCTTCTCTCTGCAACCGTCAGGGTTGCAAATGTGCATTCTGGGTTTAAACTGAAAGCTGAGCTTCTCACCCCAAAACTATGCTCCAGATATTGGGGCTGTCAAAAGAAAGCCAGCTATCACAAGACTTACAATAAAAATCAGAAAGCCGGCAACTGGCCTTCCAGCAAAGCATTCTTTGTGGCTACGAGTAGCCAGCTGAATCTCAGCTATGTGGTTTTAGAGACAGAAATTAGTACCTCCAGCTGCACGACAACAAGTCTTAACTATATTAACTCAAGAAGGCGGCTCCACCGGTGTCCCTGCTCACCGCCACCTGCACTGGCCAGATGCACAGCCCAATAGAGGGCAGTGGTACACGCACAGCATCCATCAGATGCTCAAGAAACAAAAAATGAAGCTGAAAGAGTGGTGGTGCTTATAAGTCATAGATGTGAGGGATAAAGAATAGATGGCGTTGTGTAGAAAATGGCAAAAAGACCAGTAATTACAATACTTCTCTCCTGGTCCGAGTTCAAGCACACAGGCCAAGTGGCCCTGTTCAATTAAAGATATATTTGGGAGAGGTCCCACACAAAGCTGCAGAGCTATTCCTGGCCACACTCCGGGTGAGCTATGCCGGCAAGGAATGAGTGCTTCAGGAATGCAGCTGGACGGGCTGTGTTTAGGAAAAGTTGTGTATCCTACCAACAGGGAGGAGGATCGGAACTTTCCAATAACCATGCTCCTCCCTCCACAGGGGGGTTTACGTGGCAAATCGCCCCACCGCCCTTTGCAGCCTGCTCCCATGGTGGCTGAGCTCCCGTGGGTGGCTGAGCCGGGCGCTGGCCACCCACGAGACCCAGCCACCCCGGAGCAGCTTCATATGGCCCACCCCATCAGGCAGGGATGCTCGCTGCATCCTGCTGACGCTGCCAGGGTGGTGTTGAGGTAAGCAAAATGTAGAGCGACCCAGGCTGGAGCTTGCCGCAGACAGGGAGGCGAGCATCCCAAGAAACTCCCGTGGGCTCTTCATTGAGACCGAGCGGTCGAAGCTTTGGCTTTCGTGGAAAGCAGCTGCTGGTGCAGGAGAGGGCTTTCTCACATGTGGAAAAATGAGCTGTTCTGTAAAACAGGTGGTTCTGGGTTAGAAACATGTAAGGGACAAGAGGGTCAGCTAAGGGGCACCTTCAAATCCAGCCAGGAACAACTTCCCCGGCTGCTTCCCCTGTGGTGGTTTCTATAGCATGACCATGAAATCTGCATTTACTTAACGGCCGGTGAGAAAAACAACTTCTTTCAGAGCCCTTGAGAGAGGATAGATGTGCTGTGTGGTCCAACAGCAAGGGGTTACCTTCAGATTTTCTCCCCCATCATGTTGAACAGAGGCCTGGAGCGGGCAGCATGCCCAATGGGCAGGGCTGTGACCCCCTGGCACCTTCCCAGACCTCGCCTGGGGCCTCCTCTCACCTTCGGAAACTGCCCTGCCCGGGGACGGCTTTTCACACGATGGAAACAGCTGCTTTCTGCAGGCTGCTGGGGGGACAGAAGGGCAGAAATTTCACACTCCGTTCCCTCCGTTTGTGTTCCTACCTTCCCTTCCAGGGACATCTGTCCTCTGCCCTTGGACTGCACCATCCTTCCACCTCTGAAGGCTCCAAATCCCTTTAGGAGGCAGGAAAATTAAGATGCAAGGAGGCTGCAAAAGGGGCATTAACCACCTCCCTGTAACAGGCATCCAGAGAACAAGAGCAGTGGGCAAAAAAGGGAGAATCTGGGTCACCAGACTGGGTCCCCTGAGACTGCGGGCAACCAGGCAGCGATGCTTGTTGCACAGGGGGCCACAAAAGCCACAGAAAACACCGCAGCGCCAATAACAAACTTCAGACCCATTATAAGAGCTGCAGCTGCATTGTGCCACAAGGTGGACGGAAGAGATGAAAGGCATGGCCACGACATGATGTCCCTGGGGTAATTACAGAAGCTCACTGATTATTCTAGGAGGTCAGCCATAACCTGCACTAAAAAGCCAGGCGAAGCCAACCCCACTGCTGACTTGATGTTCACAGGTGCAATACCCTCAGAGCTTAGTGCCTTTCAGTGCCTTTTGCTTTCCCCAGCACTGGCGGTGCAGCACACACACCACCGTGGACCTCGGGGAGGCCCTGAAGCTGATAGAGCTCTTGGCTTGGTGCATTGCTGTCCCACAGAGAAACCTGCGTCCTGCAGGACCGTCGCCACAGCCGGTTCAGGCGCCACTGGCCGCTTGCCCACCATAGCTCTGAATTCCTGCTCTTCTCCATTGGGGAACTGAATGTCAAGTACTAACAACTCCTGGCTGCAAAATCCTGCGCTTAACCCAGCGGGCGGGAGGTGGAGACACCCTTTGATACGCAAAATATATATTTTCTATGAAATCAAATCCCTAAGCCTGCTGTCAGCTACATCGTGCACAATTTACTATAAGCAAGCAATATTTCCCGGATATACTTCCAATTTGACAAGACACTGCTCCTCTTTTCAATCAGTTTGCTGACATTAATTTGCTGCCAGCCTCTTTCCTCCTTTAGAGCTACCTATGGGGAGGGAGGACGGGCTGGCCCATCATGTGCAACGTACGTGGAAGTTGGCTCGCAGACAACACCCCGCTGTTTGTCTTTTGTACACAGGGAACTGCCAGTACTATTGCGGCTTTCTCCTATTATCTGTCCCAACCACATCACCCCGTGTTTAGGGGTGCGTTTCTGTTAACCAAGGTAAAGCCAGGGCATCGTTTTACTTTTCCTAAATATTTTCTATTTTTACACCTGTCATGGTTTAACCTCAGTCGGCAACTGAGCACCACACAGCCGCTCGCTCCCTCTCCCCC